CTAACTTTAAGGTGTTCCAGGAACAACAATCCAAACAATGTGTGTATGTGCCCATTATGTACAGTGTATTTGGAAATGATTCAGACTCCTTGACTTTTTCCACATTTTGTTACGTTACAGCTTTATTATAAAATTGATAGAATTATTTTTTTCCCACATCAATCTACACACAATAACCCAAATGACGAAGCGAAAACAGGCTTTTAGATATTTTTGCACATTTATAAAAAATTGAAATACCTTATTTACATAAGTATTCAGACCCTTTGTTATGAGACTCGAAATTTAGCTCAGGTGCATCCTTTTTCCATTGATCATCGTTTAAATGTTTCTACAACTTGATTGGAGTCCACCTGTGGTAAATTCAATTGATTGGACATGATTTGGAAAGGCACACACCTGTCTATGTAAGGTCCCACAGTTGCCAGTCCATGTCAGAGCAGAAACCAAGCCATGAGGTCAAAGGACTTGTCCGTAGAGCTCCAAGACAGGATTGTGTCAAGGCACAGATCTGGGGAAGTGTACCAAAAAATGTCTGCAGCATTGAAGGTCCCCAAGAACACAGTGGCCTCCATCGTTCTTAAATGGAAGAAGTTTAGAACCACCAAGACTCTTGCTAGAGCTGGCCGCCCGGACAAACTGAGCAATGGGGGAGAAGGGCCTTGGTCAGGGAGGTGACCAAGAACCCGATGTTCACTCTGACAGAGCTCCAGAGTTCCTCTGTGGAGATGGGAGAAACTTGGCAGCATCATGCTGTGGGGATGTTTTTCAGCAGCAGGGACTAGGAGACTAGTCAGGATCGAGGGAAAGATGAACGGAGCAAAGTACAGAGAGATCTTTGAGGAAAACCTGCTCCAGAGTGCTCAGGACCTCAGACTGGGGCGAAGGTTCACCTTCCAACAGGACAACGACCCTAAGCAAACAGCCAAGACAATGCAGTAGTGGCTTCGGGATAAGTCTCTGAATGTCCTTGAGTGGCCCAGCCAGAGCCCGGACTTGAACCTGATCTAACATCTCTGTAGAGACCTGAAAATAGCTGTGCAGCGACGTTCCCCATCCAACCTGACAGAGCTTGAAAGAATCTTGCAGAGAAGAATGGGAGAAACTCCCCAAATACAGGTGTGCCAAGCTTGTAGCATCATACCCAAGAAAGCTAGAGGCTGTAATCGCTGCCAAAGGTGCTTCAACAAAGTACTGAGTAAAGGGTCTGAATACTTATGTAAATGTGATTTTTTGTTTTTTATACATTTGCAAAAATTTCTAAAAACCTGTTTTTGCTTTGTCATTATGGGGTATTGTGTGTAGATTGATGAGGGGAAAAAACGATTTGAATAAGGCTGTAACGTAACAAAATGTGGAAAAAGTCAAGGGGTCTAAATACTTTCTGAACGCACTGTATTGGTTGTTTGTCCCTCAGCCCAAACTAATATCTAAAATGTGATATTCTGCGTCAGAGGCCTCGATGTTTTAGAACATATCTTCTTAGTGAGGCTACTGTTTTAACAGTGTCATGTGTTCAAGTTTAATTTGCAGTTTTTAGTCAAGAATGCTGTGGACAGAGATGTTTGGATTGCAAAGTTTATAATGATGTGAGGAAGAAGGCTGCATTTATCCCCAGGACAGGGCAGTGGTGGGAACAGGAAGAAACAAAGCCCTGAAATTGGCTGCAAAATGGCTGCCAAAAAATATTGAGACTTCCTTCTTCTAAGACCTTTAAAATGGGAAAAAGGCTTTAGGAGGATAAATAGGGTGCCTTGATCTGGAAAAGTCCCGAAAATATGAACTTAATGAAAGCGCCAAGTACTCTAACCTGGTCTCAGATCTGCTTGTGCTGCTATGGTCCATAACACTTGACAAGGTAAACAAACAGATCTGGGACCAGGCTAAAAGTTCATATTATATTTGAGGTAGCTTACTGTAGGTTACAGTTGGTTGGGGCTTATGTGGGGAAAGTGAATATTTCTTGTTTCGTTTATCCCAAATGGGTTTCTTGTGAGGTGGGCCAGTCGATCTAAGCAGTGACAATTAAAATGTGTGCCATGGAAATGTGGAGAGGTTTAGGGTAGGACTGTAACCATTTGTGCTATATTCTATCCTCTGTGGTGGGATGGTGGGAAACAAGTGTATGTGTGTTTGTGTGAGTGAATGAGTGAGTGTCTATCTGTCGCTCTCTCAGACTGTCTCTCTGTCTGTCTCAAAATGACCGTAAACGTACCCACTGATACCCTATTAACATGAATGTCAACCAATCATGTACAGTGTTTACACTGTGCTATACCATGGAGGTCAAGGCCTGCCTGTTTTATCATGATGCCGTTGGGAGATTGAGATAATCAAAGCAACAGCTAATGTAGTGTTGATGTGACTCAACGTTGGAATATCTACCTATATGTAACGGACATGAGTTGGTCATGGTTGCTCATGGTCACGTGATGAGGTAGCCCACCTGTGACTTGAAAATCAGTGTTGGCCCTCGGCCGTAGAGGGAATTTCCTCTTGGTCTAATGGTTAAGACGTTGGTTTCTCCCACGGTAGTCCTCTAGGTTTTCGCTCCAATCCCAGTTGTAACAGGGAACACTTGACTAACTCGTAAGACAGGTTGTTTTGATGGACATTTCCCACAAGCAAAGGGGCTTCCTCTCTTTCCTTCCTAACATGTCTCTGTCTTTCCCTCCTGAAGATATTAAAGTACTCTGTCAACAGTCACCTTTGAACATGAAGACAGGTGTTCTATGCTGTACATTGTCACGGCCCCAGGTCTTCAGACTAAATATCAGCGCTGCGGGCTAGGCTTAGCTTAGTTAGGTGTTGAAAGACTTCTTTCATCTCTGTGAAAATGCCTGACAGCACAATGTATCTATCATCTCTATGTCTCTATTGACCATCGTATTGTAATATTTTCATTTGTTTATATCGGGGTGATTGGTGCCAGCAGTGAAGTGTGTAGCTAGGGGAATAGAACAAATCACAGGTGGTGTGTGGATTGTTGTGGGTTACATGGCACAGGTCATGTGCTTGTATGTGTGTAACAAGAGCTGTAAATGTCAATACATACCATTGACACAGTATATGGTCCTCTGTAGCTCAGCTGGTAGAGCACGGCGCTTGTAACGCCAGGGTAGTGGGTTCGATCCCCGGGACCACCCATACACAAAAATGTATGCACGCATGACTGTAAGTCGCTTTGGATAAAAGCGTCTGCTAAATGGCATATTATTATTATTATTATTATATATGTACTGTACTGTAGTATGCACATGTATGTGAGTGATCTTTGTGAATGTATGCTTAGTATATTCTGTATGTATGGAGCATGTGTACATTGTGTGTACAGTGTGTGTGTGTGTGTGTGTGTGTGTTACTGTGCTTATCGGGGTGTGTGTGTTGGGCTGTTCAGTCAGTGGTTTTTTCTGTTTACTGCATAGCTGACATTGTTTGGGTCTGTGGCTGCGTGTGGCTGTCACTGTGGTCCCCCAAGAGGCCAGAGAGTCTAGCACCCACTGGACAGGAGAGGGAGGGAGGGAGGGAGGGAGGGAAGCTTGGGAAGAGGGAAGAGAGTAAAAGAAGAGCGAGAGGGATATATATGGATGGTCAGGAAAGAGAAAAAGTAAAATAAGAGATGGGGGAGAGAGGAGGCAAGAAGGTAGAAAAAGGAAAGATAGTGAAAGGAGAGAAGAGGGAGAAAAGCTTGAGAGAAAGCACTGGGAGACAAGTGGGAGGCCGAGAGAGTAGAAGAGAAATGAGTCAGAACAATGGCTGTCTGTATTTATTTTTATATGTAGGAGTGTATTGGGTTCCATGGCTACTGGTCTCAACAGTCTAGGAGTTATTTTGAGATCTGTATTTGGACAGAAGGGCTATAATCAAGGGAACATCAGGTCTGCCGCTGTTATATGCAAGCCGGGAGGGTTCACTCTGATGTGTGTGTGTTAGTGAGCGAGAGAAAGAGAAATAATATATGAATGAGAGGAAAGTGAAGGCTAGTGCCACAAGTTCATAATGAGCGGTCTACTCGAAACCTTAGGGCGAATTTCCATTTGGAAATACCAGAACCTAAGCACAAGTCCACCAGTATCAAAACCCGTTGGGCCATAATAATTATGTATTGGAAGGTCACAGAAGGTTATGTAATAACTACGTTTGTAATTAGCAATTATTGTGTGTAATTTCCAGTTTTCCAAAATGGCAAAAGTTTATTTAAGCAATAAGGCCCGAGGGGGTGTGATATATTTAAGCAATAAGGCCCGAGGGGGTGTGGTATATGGCCAATATACCATGGCTAGGGCTGTTCTTAAGCACGACGCAACGCGGAATGCCTGGACACAGCCCTTAGCCGTGGTATATTGGCCATATATCACAAACCCCAGAGGTGCCTTATTGCTATTATGAACTGGTTACCAACGTAATTAGAGCAGTAAAAATACATGTTTTGTCATACCAGTGGTATACGGTCTGATATACCACGGCTGTCAGCCAATCAGCATTTAGGGCTCGAACCACCCAGTTTATAATGGCCAATATACCACGGCTAAGGGCCGTTCTTAGGGACGACACAAAGCGATATATTGGCCATATAGTACAAACCCCAGAGGTGCCTTAATGCTATTATAAACCGGTTACCAATATAAATAGAACAGTAAACAAGTATTTTTTTCATACCCGTGGTACATTGTCTGATATACACACGGCTGGAATGCTGTTGCAGCCAATCAGCATCCAGGACCCAAACTACCCGGTTTATAATTTCAATTGAATCATGGATACTATTTTCTTCTTTTTTTTTACCCGCACACTGCTCTCACCAGTATCACTTTATTTTCTTTAAAGACTTCAAATGATTCCCACTCACCTGTAACAAGCCGACTTAGATGAGATTTTGAATCATGGAGAAATTAACTGTGGTTAACATGCTTAAGGTACAAAAATGACTTGTTAACATAACAGCAATTTGATCAGCAATTTCTCACCTCTTCCTTTGTCCCGTTTTCACTCTCTTGCCAGGCAGTCACCTGCTTTACACCACAAGAACAGCGTCACAACGCCTGTAGGAGTTGGCAAGAGAGCAGAAACAGTCAGACTGGCACTCAGACTACCAACAACCAGATAATGTGCCAACAAACAACGCTCACAGCTGAAGCTTGCAAATGATGGACAAACAAAACGGTAACAGCGTTTAAAAATATATGAAATTAATCAACAAAATTGGCAACTTTTTTGATTGTTGGTTATCTATAACTGTATGTGAGATCATTCCTAAATACATGGTTTATAGTATGATCCACATACTATAGTGCTTATTATGTGTCAATACTATGGCAACAAGTATTGAAACACTGCTATTACTCTTTTAGGAAATGGGCCCAAAGCCCCAGAGAACAGGGTGAAGGGGAAGCCTCCTCCGTACTCGGTGGAGACGCCCTATGGCTTCCACCTGGACCTGGACTTCCTCAAGTACGTTGACGACATCGAGAAGGGCCACACCATAAAGAGGGTCCCCATCCAGCGCCGGAGCAGGGGGCAGAGGCCCAGCACACTCCCCAGGCACCTCAACCTGTCTGGGCATGGCTATCGGCCTACCCCCTGGGGCTCCACTGGAGCTCTGGCCCCCAGGTCTCGCCTCGCCGACCCCCACCTGGGCTATGGCTCCTGGGCTTATGATGGCAGGTCGTCAGCCTCCTCTGGAAGGTATAAGTCTGTGGCTGAGATGGAGGCCAGTATCCAAGCCTTTGATGAGCAGCCCTTGGGGGAGCACATCAGGCCAAATCTCCTGCGTGCCTCCAGCCTGCCTCTCACCGTCCTGCTGAGGAAAGGTTCCGAGTCAACTGAAGACCCGGCCAGTCTCCGAAGCTCCAGAGACCGTCTCGGAGGAAGGGACATGTCCACGGAAGACAGCTTCTACTCCCCGGACTGCTCGTCTGACTTTTGGTCGAACCAGGACTTTTCTGGAACCCTCCACCGCCTCACCGAAGCCCTGGAGCGCGTGGGCGAGCTGGAGGAGGAGGTCCGGGTCATCCCGGAGCTCAAGGCACAGATCTGCATCCTGCAGGAGGAGAGGGAGAGGTTCCGTCTTGGACTGAATTCCCGACCAGGATCCCAAACCTTGGTCAACGGGGCCAAAAAACCCTCTTATGCGACCTCTGACCTCAAAAGACCCAGGAAAGAGAGTAATCTCTTCACCCACAACGACGATGTCACCGATGACGACTCTAACCAGACACACGAATGGAGGATGAGCACAGACCTAGACGAGCTTCTTACGGTGACATCCCTGCAAGCCAAAGTGGCCATGCTGGAGCAGAGGCTTCATGAGAGCAGCACGGACCTCCAGAACGCCACCTTGCTGCTGAGAGAACAGCAGGAGGAGGGCCAGAGGAAGGAATTGAGGATGAAGCAGCTCACTAGGAACACTGGGGGCTGGGTGAGAGCAGAGAGAGTCCAGGTGGACCAATATGACGAAGAGACCGAGAATTCTTCTAGGTGGTCTTTAGCAGGTGCGCATGGTCCGTCCATTCGAGAAAATTTGAATGAAGGAGAATCTTTGTCGACCAATGCAGTGACCATCGGAACAAATAGACAAATCTCTGGCACTCAGATCGAGGGCCTTGGAGATCATCACATTTGGGTTTCAGCTAGCTCTTCCACGATGGAGGTCCAAGCTGGTCAACACATTTCAGAAACGGTGGTCCATCGCTTTGTAGGAGAACCAGGCCTGGCAGTATCCATGGAGCACATGCCCCAGAAAGAAGCCTCCCCAGGTGGCATGGAGCAACCTGTGGCGGCCCTCCACGTGAAGAGGATCCAGGTTCTCCTGGAACAGCAGTGGGAGTGTCTGTGTGGGGGGACAGCAACAGAGGGGGGCAAGGCCCTGGAGCACCCAGACCCCAAGGTCAATTCGCTACAGGAGGAGATGATGAGTCTGGTTCATACTCTTTCCTCCTACTACAACCATGGATCCAGTGACGGAGAGGCTTCTCAAGGAGGTATGGTTTATCTTCACATAACTTTGGGTTGACTTCCAGAACAAGTATGCTCAATGGAGAATCTCCATTGAAAGTGGTTTCTAGTCCAGGAAAAGCCTGGACAATAATGTCCAGTCTACACTAACCACATATTGTCTTTATGCATTTTTTAAAATATTCGCAAGAAAATCTGTTGCCAATTGGATGGAAACCTAGCTACTGACCCTAAACATTTTTCATTGAATATAAAAAGAGAAATTATGTGGAACAAGGATTTTGTTTTTTTGACTGCTTAAAAAGCAAAGTGAATGTTTATTTTATAGTACAGAGCTCTTTTCTGTATTTCATAAGTTATTAGATATATTCCAACTCATTTGAATTTCAAAACAGAGTCTAACTGTAACACAATCCATTCCCAGTGGTTTTTTTTTACTCCATTCACGTAATGTCAGCTCATTTCACTCATAGCTTTGAGCTATTTCTCCATCTGTCATGAAAGATTAGGTCCGATTTGCGAGTCAATGGCGGAAATTCACAGCGCACAAATTCCATTACCATGTCAAAGAGACCACTTTCAGACAACTTTATTTTCCTTTCTCAAATCGAGACCCACAATTCGCCATGCAGTGTAAATTGATGGTTGTAGTTAGTCTGGCTTTATGCATGATAGGTTTTTATTGATGACTGTAACTCTTCCTTACGGTTTGTACTTAAAGAAGGATTTTCTTTTTGCCCTGACTCAGTCCTTAGGCAACTGAACCAGCTCCAGTACTTCCATTTTCTTCATTTATACTAGAATGGGAGAAGTTTGGTCATAATTACAGGGAAACTATTTCGTTCTCATGCAAAGAACAATTCAAAGCTGCTATGGAAACAACTCACCAGACCCATGTGTTTCATTAAAGCAGCGAAATGAACAGAAATGCAGTTTATATGTAGTTATCATCCAACTTGAAAGAAAACTCCACTCAAAAACGATATCTTTCAAAAAATGAAAATACTAAGACAGTTTTTGACTAGAGTTTCACTTTAACTGATAGCTATCAATGCCTCCCATTGTGATTAGGCTACCAACCACGTATAATGGAGTATGTCTACAGACTTTCTATCTCATTGTCTATGTCATGGGGGCCTCCTCATCATCCTCTTATACTGTGGTTGGCCCCACTTGAAATGACAATAATAATTAGCAAAGCATCTACATTTCTGTAGCTTTTATAAAAGGTTCATTTAGCCTTTAGTTGTTGTTGTTTGTTTAGCTGTTGTTGTATTCAAAGTGGGACCGTGTGATTTAACAGCTCCTTCGCCTTAACATACGATCTGTGTCGTCTTTTTCTCTCTTAGCCCCAAAATCCATCATGAAGAGAAATGGCAGTGGTCAGACGTCAAAGAACCTCCACTTTGCTCGTGTGAACAGCGGGTAAGACACCAGTCTCCTGCTGTTTATAGTTTACAAATAACTAACTTGAGCATCACCCTCTGCATTTATGACCAACTTATGGCTAACCCTGAAGATTTCACTGTGCAGCAACACTAATTTTGGACTGTCTGCGTTCAGCTAGAAAAACCCATGATGTTGGCTACAATGGCAGGATGACTGTAATGGCGAAACACATTGGTTCAGAATGACACAATAGTGTCTGAATATCTTTTGCACATGTGTTTAGCTTTGAAACAACACCAAATGAGGATTTGGACAGTAAGAGCCATGCGAATGTGGACATCTCCGACCTAGAGCAACAGCCAGAAGGACTTGGGGAGATGGTAGAGAAACCTGCAGAACATGGGGGTTCCAACCATGGAGACCAGAAAGAGGGAGACCCAAGTCAAGAGACGATGGAAGGAACCAATCCAATGGACCAGACTACTCAAGATGTACAACCAGACTCACATACAGATAGTGGTGAAAATCTGAAAGCTGGAGAACCAGAAGAACAGGCCAAGACAGACACCAACATAGAGGAACCTATGGAGGCAGAACCAGACCCAAACACAGATCCCAAACATGAACTGCAAGACAGGTGAGGGGAACTGAGTATATCTTAATATTTTTTTTGGTTCATGAATTGTCATTTTTGAGGATTTGCCAGTTAACATTTCTGCATATTTATTTTGCAATTTTAAAATATTGAAGAGTGCCATGAATTCTTTTTCAGAATATGAAAAAACACTATCTTTATTATAATGTATTGATGTTAGTAAGAGTATAAGAATATTGTTGACAACACAACTCATGGGACTAATGATGGTCTTTCCTCATAGGGACACTGTAGATGAAGAGTTCATAGCAGCGTGTCATTTCCTCAAAGATCACATGGACAACATGGATAACCCCAATGATGAAATGGTACGCATAGTACAGCAATACATTTAGACATAGGCCTATAGGCACAACCTAATTACACAAGCGTTATTCAAAAGCTCTATGAATATCTGTTAAGATAGACTAGGCACTACCAAACACAGTGTCTTAAAGATGAACACAATTTGTGACAGCATAATATTTTCATTTATTGAACGGAAGAGCATAGTTATGCACCTAATTTATTTCTTTTATTTCACCTATATTTAACTAGAACATTCTCATTTACAATAACGACCTGGCCAAGAGGCATAACATCGCAATAGTGAACAGGACAACACAAAATAACACAAAACATTTATAAAAACACACTATACAGAGGAAAGGTAAGAAATATTCACAGAGGGAGCAGAAAAGTTCAACACAGCAGACTTAATGATCAGCAGGTACATTGATCAGATAGCAGCTCAGTTAATATGTTTTTGAACCAGTGTGGTGGGATGAATGTGGCAAGTTTGAGGGTCTTTTGCAGCTCGCTCCAGTCGTTGGCGGTGGAAAAATGGAATGAATGATGGCTAAAGGAAGTGCGGGCTTTGGGAATGACATTTAATGACATCACATTTAATTGTGTTACAGTGGATTCAAATGGATTTAATAGTAATTTTTTGTAAAGAATCTACACAAAATACTAACGTCGAAGTGGAAGATATTTTTTTTTTTACCGATTAATACAAATGTAATAAAAATATAGTCGTTGCATAGTTACACTGAACAAAAATATAAACGCAACATATAAAGTGTTGGTCCCATGTTTCATGAGCTGAAATAAAAGATCCCAGAAATGTTCCATACACACAAAAAGCGTATTTCTCTCAAATTTTGTGCACAAATTTGTTTACATCCCTGTTAGTGAGCATTTCTCCTTTTCCAAGATAATCCATCCACCTGACAGGTGTGGCATATCAAGATGCTGATCATTACACAGGTGCACCTTGTGCTGGGAACAATAAAATGCCACTCTAAAATGTGCAGTTTTGTCACACAACAATGCCACAGATGTCTCAAGTTTTGAGGGCGCGTGCAATTGGCATGCTGACTGCAGGAATGTCCACCAGAGAATTCAATGTTTATTTCTCTACCATAAACCGAATTTGGCAGTACGTCCAACCGGAATCACAATCACAGACCACATGTATGGTGTCGTGTGGGTGAGTGGTTTGCTGATGTCAACATTGTGAACAGAGTGCCCCATGGTGGCGGTGGGGTTATGGTATGGGCAGGCATAAGCTATGGACAACGAACACAATTTCATTTTATCGATGGCAGTTTGAATACACAGAGATACCGGGATGAGATCCTGAGGCCCATTGTCGTGCCATTCATCCGCCACCATCACCTCATGTTTCAGCATGATAATGCACGGCCCCATGTCGCAAGGGTCTGTACACAATTCCTGGAAGCTGAAAATGTCCCAGTTCTTCCATGGCCTGCATACTCACCAGACATGTCACCCATTGAGCATGTTTAGGATACTCTGGTTCGACGTGTACGACAGCGTGTTCCAGTTCCCGCCAATATAAATATAATCCAGCAACTTTGCACAGCCATTGAAAAGTGGGACAACATACATTCCACAGGCCACAATCAACAGCCTGATCAACTCTATGCGAAGGAGATGTGTCGTGCTGTATGAGGCAAATGGTGGTCACACCAGATACTGACTGGTTTTCTGATCCACGTCAATACCCGTTTTTAAAAAGGTATCCGTGACCAACAGATGCATATCTGTATTCCCAGTCATGTGAAAATCATAGATTTGGGCCTAATTTATTTATTTAAACAGACTGATTTCCTTATATGAACTGTAACTCAGTAAAATCTTTGAAAATGTTGTGTTTATATTTTTGTTCAGTATATTTAGCCCCTTTGTTTAGCCAAGCCTAAATTATTTCAGGAGTAAAATGTGACTTAACAAATCACATAACTTACATGGACTCACTCTGTGTGAAATAATAGGGGTTGACATGATTTTTGGATGACTAACCCTTCCTCTGTCCCCAATACATACAACATCTGTAAGGTCCCTCAGTCAAGTATTGAATTTTAGGCACAGATTCAACTACAAAGACCAGGGAGCTTTTCAAAAGCTTCATAAAGAAGGGCAGTGATTGGTAGATGGGTAACTATAAAAAATCAGACAGTGAATATCTCTTTAAGCATGGTGTAGTTAATAATTATGCTGTGGATTATACATTACACCACCCAGACACATTAAATATCCAGTCGTCCTTCTGAACTGAGCTGCAGGACATGAATGAAACTGCTCAGGGATGTTACCATGAGGCTATTGGGGATTTTAAAACAGCTACAATGTTCAATGGCTGTGATGGGAGAAAACTAAGGATAGATCAAAAACATTGTAGTGACTTCACAATAATTACCTAAATGACAGAGTGAAAATAAGAATACAAATATACAGAATATTCCAAAACATGCATCTTGTATGCAACAAGGCACTAAAGTAATACTGCAAAAAATAACACGGCAAATGAATACACTTTTTGGCCTAAATGCAAAGCCTTATGTTTGGAGCAAATCTGATACAACCCATCACGGAGTAACTGCCTCATTATTTTCAAGCATGGTGGTATGCTTGACATCGACAAATACTGGGGAGTTTTTCAGTATGAAAAGAAACAGGATGGAGCTAAGCACAGGCAAAACCCTGGAGGAAAACCTGCTTCAGTATGCTTTACACCAGACACTGGGAGAGGAATTCACATTTCAGCAGGACAATAACCTACAACACAGGCCACATCTACACTGGTGTTGCTTACCAAGAAAAGAGTGAATGTAAGCCAAGTTACAGTTTTGACTTAAATCTGCATGGAAATATATGGCAAGACTTGAAAATGGATGTATAGCCATGATCCCCAACATCTTGACAGAGCTTGAAGAATTTTGAAAAGAATAATGGGCAAATATTGCACAATTCAGGTGTGCAAAGCTCTTAGAGACTCACCCAAGAAGACTCACAGCTAGCTGTAATTGCTGCCAAAGGTGTTTCTAACATGTATTGACTCAGGGAGCTGAATACTTTGACATTCGAGTATTTTGTGTAGATTGTTGACAAAATGTCCATTTTAATCCAACTTTGTAACACAATCAAATGTGAAGAAATCCAAGGGGTCTGAATACTTTTGCAAGGCCCTGTATCTACCAGAGCGCAGGATGCTATTGGTGGTGGAGATGTTGAGGAGTGAGGGGGGACTTGCCTATGAGGGACTTGTAAATAAATTGTTACCAGTGGGTCTGGCATCGTGTATGTAATGAGGGCCAGTTGACCAGCATGTAAAGGTCACAGTGATGAGTGTTGAAGGGGGCACTGGTAACAACCCACTGGGCACACACTGGTTAAATCAACGTTGTTTCCACGTCATTTCAATTCAATTACGTTGAACCAATGTGGAATAGACGTTGAATTGATGTCTGTGCCCAGTGGGAAAGCGGTTAGCAGTGTGGTAAATGGCGTCTAGTTTATTGAGGGAGGTTTTGGGGGCAAGCCTGTAAACTACATCGCCATAGTCCAGGATCGGCAGGATGGGAGAAGGATGTTTTGTTGAAGTAGAGGAAACCAAATTCTGGATTTAACTTTAGACTGAAGGTGGGTGACATGGGTATGGAATGAGAGTGATCAGTCCAGCCATATACTAAGATATTTACAAGCGTCGACATACTCCAGCTCTGACCCGTTCAGGGTGAGAATGTTAGGAGGGCAGGCAGGTCTCAGGTAAGTTTTTTGGTATTGAGGAGTAGGTGAAGGTCAGATAAAGCATGCTGGATGTTGATAAGGCTATGTTGTAGGGTGGTCAGCACGGATACTTTCATTAGTGCTATTCAAATCAAATCAAATCAAATTTCATTTGCCACATGTGCCGAATACAACAGGTGTAGACATTTCTGTGAAATGCTTACTTACAGCCCTTAACCAACAATGCATTTATTTTTTTAAATAAAAAAGTAAAATAAAACAACAAAAAAGTGTTGAGAAAAAAAGTAAAATAAAATAACAGTAGGGAGGCTATATACAGGGGGGTACTGGTGCAGAGTCAATGTGCGGGGGCACCGGCTAGTTGAGGTAGTTGAGGTAATATGTACATGTGGGTAGAGTTAACGTGACTATGCATAAATAAGTATGCAGCAGTGTAGCAGCAGCGTAAAAAGATGGGGTGGGGGGTGGGGGGTGGGGGGGGGGGGGGCAGTGCAAATAGTCCAGTTAGCTGTTCAGGAGTCTTATGGCTTGGGGGTAGAAGCTGTTGAGAAGTATTAGCCTCATTAAACTGTCTATATCTGCCGTATGCATTTTCTCTCGGAAATATCCAAGCAATATGAATAGAAGTTGCCCTCAGATACAGATCTAGGACCAGCTTACCCTTCATTTTGGGGAGGAAAACGGTAAACATTAATCTGCTCCCCAGAGGCGGGCTTTGGTGGTGCTGTTCCGAGATTGGTTCCGGGTGGCGGCTGAGGAGGACTCCCTGGCCAATACAGTGTTAGTGTACCTCAGAGAGGTGAGGAAGGCTACGCCCTCGCTCCTCCCCTTCCTGGTTAACATGGCAGATGACAACGGCAACACAGCACTCCACTACAGCGTGTCCCACGCCAACTACCCCATCGTCAGCCTGCTACTGGACACAGGTAGGCACCAGTGTGTGTGTGTGTGTGTTTGATTTTACACAGTTATGGGGCATTATAAACTGGGTGGTTTGAGCCCTGAATGCTGATTGGCTGACAGCCGTGGTATATCAGACCGTATACCACGGGTATGACAAAACATTTATTTTTACTGCTCTAATTACGTTGGAAACTAGTTTATAATAGCAATAAGGCACCTTGGGGGTTTGTGGTATATGGCCAATATACCACGGCTAAGGGCTGTGTCCAGGCACTCCGTGTTGCGTCGTGCTTAAGAACATCCCTTAGCCATGGTATATTGGCCATTTCCACCCCCCCCTCGGGCCTTATTGCTTAAGTCTAAGGTAAGACAGTGAGTGAGTGTACATAAACACTTAGTGTGTATCTAAATGGTTATACATTTGTACTTCCATATCTGTTCATCCACTGATGATAGACCATTTTGCCTTATAGCCTCATAGGACAATTGAGCAAAAACACAAGTTGACGTATTGAGCATCCCAATACACCGTATGTGTTCCTAAATGTATGTGTGTGTTTGTCCTTTCCCATGCAGGTGTGTGTGAGGTGGACCTCCAGAACAAGGCAGGATACACAACGGTGATGCTGGCCTCCCTAACGGCCCCGGATGGCTCTGGGGACATGGAGGTGGTCCGCAGGCTCATGGAGCTGGGGGACGTCAACGCTCGAGCCAGCCAGGTCACGGTCACTGCCTCTATAACTGCCAAATACACATCTCATACATCCTAACACTCTTTATTGGCACATAATGTACTGTATGACCAAGCATCTTAGTATTCCAAATGTATAACTGTGGGTTGTCTAAACGGTTCCATAACACAAAGCAATAGACAAGAATGGCTCCAAAAATCCACAGTGGATGTTTCAGAGTTTCATACAGCACCATGGTGGTTATAGCTATGAAACATCAAAGCAATATATAGTAAATTGGACCTGTGCAGTGCATACTTGTTTTCATGTAGGGATCTGTAAACTATAAACCATATGAATCCGCACCAAGGGCTGGTCTGTCATGCTTCTCACACAGAGGGCAATATGGCTTTAATAAACAGTGGCTTAGTGGCTCTGCTTTGGAGAGAGGATATATTGAGTTGACCTCTACAGCTCTCCCATGCTGCCTGGGTTAGGATGAATCACCTCTGTACCACTGGGAGCAGTGGGAGAAACCGGTAGCCTGGTTTCACCAGAATGAACACTGTGCTCCCAATTGTTTCAGAGCAGCAACCTGGTTTAACCAGGCTAAGGTACTGGAGCATGAATATCCTTATGTTTCTGGCATGGCTACAGAAGACTGGAGGTTATCATGCGCTCTCTCCTGCTGCCTGGACCTCTGTCCTCTCATCTCTTCTCACATACAGAGAGAGCTTCAATCTTCTCCATGATTACTCAGCACAAAAATCATAATAACATGTCTTAACAGCCCCCTCGGCCGTGCTTAGGGCTGTTGCAGTGGCTGTATTACTGCCACACCGGCAGTCATGAGTCATGACCACAGTAAAATTCCACATGACCGTCACAGTAATCTCCTCTTATGCACTCTGGACACGCTTTATTAGTACCCAACTCACTAACGACCATCAGGTCCTAATGGCCTGGTACTCAGGGCTCTATTGTCCCTCTAACCACTCGGACATCAATGCAAATGCAATCAAAAATAACATCAAACACTTATCATCAAAACAGTATCGTGCTTTTAAATCTCACCTCACTGTGATTGATCAATTTGAAGAAGGAAGTTCAACAACAGGTTGAAACTGAGTGGAAAACATGGTCGTTGTGGATGTTGTGGCCTCCTGTAGCTCAGTTGGTAGAGCATGGCGCTTGCAACACCAGGGTTGTGGGTTCGATTCCCATGGGGGGCCAGTATGAAAAATGTATGCACTCACTAAAAACTGTAAGTCGCTCTGGATAAGAGCATCTGCTAAATGACAAACATTTTAAATGTTGTTTCAAAGCCTAACACAATGAAATGGACAGTGCTTTCTAAGGTGATGATTAATTCAAGCGGCATCCAATCCCTATTCGAGTGCATTCGGATGACATGTATTTTTTCCCCTGCCTCTGTTTCTGCCCATTTGATAATGGGCCATTGTAAATCCAAACTCATTTTACATATTAGTAAAGTAAATTGAGAATTGTCTGATGGGTGAAAATATGATCACTTGATGAGAGAACAGCGTGTGCAGCCTGAGGCAAAGAACAGAGCGCTACTTTCTCAAATCATCATGCAGCCCATATACTGTATGTTTTGATTTCTAAGACATTTGTATAATTCACAACTAAAGTTGCTAAATAACTCTAAATCTAGCACATAGGACCTGTTTCAATTGATCACTTTTATGCTCAACATAGCCACTTCATATGCGCACTCTCTCCAGCTAAGTTCAATTATATTATTCGAACTATAAAATCATATAATATAAAATAATGGCACGGGACTTATAAGCATATCTTGTCAGCTAAATGAACAAGCCTACAGCCTATGGCATGGAGCATAGCCAGGTAACATGCAGTAGTATCACATTTCAGGAGAAGACCCAGATACAGACAGTGTTGAAGTAACAAAAGTTTATTACAAAAACAGGGGGCAGGCAAACGACAGGTCAAGGGCAGGCAGATGTCAGTATTCCAGATCAGAGTCCGAAAGGTACAGAACGGCAGGCAGGCTCAGGGTCAGCTCAGTCAGAATGGTCAAAACCGGGAAAACTAGAAAACAGGAACTAGAGAAAGACTGGAGCAAGGGGAAAAACGCTGGTAGGCCTGACGAAACAAAATGAACTGGCCACAGACAAACAGAGAACACAGGTATAAATACACTGGGGGTAATGGGGAAGATGGGCGACAGCTGGAGGGGGGTGGAGACAATCACAAAGACAGGTGAAACAGATCAGGGTGTGACAGTAGGCCAACTCATATTCTGTTCTTCTGAAATACGTTTTCTTCATATCATATTTCTTTAGACCTGCCTAAAATAAATAATGGATTTATTGTGATGATGTAGGCTATATTATATGGATTTATTAGACTTTTTCAAATGTAGATGTTCCAAAGACGTGCATCAGCGGCTTGTATGCGTGGAGACCTGGAGATGCTAAACGTGTTTATGTTAATTAACGGTCAATTACCGCGAGACCGGAAGTCTTTTGCATGACAATAACCGGCGGATAAAATTTCATGACCGCCATAGCCCTAGCCCCGCCTGCATACTTTCTTTCTCTCTCTTTTAAACACACAGTAAAATATTATCCCATAAGACTGGCCTAAAGATGGACCATCCCACCAGGCATTTGCCACAACTGCTTTCTGGCCAGTCAGCTTCAGCTCGGCATGCTGAGATGACTCTCCTCTTGACCCTCCTCATCCCTCTCCCTGTCTCTCTCCCTCCAGGGGGGTCAGACAGCTCTGATGCTAGCAGTGAGACATGGCCGGGGCCTGATGGCGCGGCTGCTGCTACGCTGCGGGGCCGACCCCAATGTCCAGGACCGCCAGGGGGCCACGGCCCTCATGTGTGCCTGCGAGAGGGGCCACACACACGTCGCCCGGCTTCTGCTGGAGAGGGCTGAGTGTGACACCAGCCTCACAGACCAGGTGAGAACACACAAACACATGTGCATAGACACACACACGCATAGATATGTATGTGTGTAGTAGCATCTTAAACAGGTTTTGCACTGTGCAGTAGATCAGGATTTGGTAGCTGGTGCTAACAGGAAGTCTATGCCTGCAGTATCACTGGTTCTCACTGTGCCTGTTGGACAACTCAGGAAGAGAAACAGATTAACAGTGCTATGCACTTTCTCATACACACAAACACAGATATGGATACACACACACACACAATCCCCCACGCCCCTGAAGGCCCTGAGCAAGGCAGTTAACCTACTGTTCGCGGGCGCCGGTGACATGGATGTCGATTAAGGCAGCACCCGCACCGCTCTAATTCAGACACATTTCAGTTGAATGTATTCAGTTGTACAAATGACTAGGTATCCCCCTTTCCCTTTACTTTCCCTCAGTTACTAACCACGACTTCAGGAGTAGGCAATACATCAAACAACCAGACCCTTCACCATCTAGTGGACAAATATACACAATACGCCCCGGGGGAATAAGAGCGCCTCAAGTATTGCCATTATAAGATTCAATGTTAACAGGATGTCAGTCCTCTTTTCTCACTAGAATTTGCGCCTTTGCTGAAAGAGCAGCTTACGCCATTTGAAGCATTTGAAAGCCCAAATACCTTGTTTGCGTCCCAAGTGGAACCCTATTCTCTATGGGCCCTGGTCAAAAGTAGTGGACTAAATAGGGAATAGGGTGCCATTTAGGGTGCATCCCTTGACTCAGCGATTAGCTCGTCGTAGCCCAGTGAGGTTTGCCTCTACAACAGGCTTCATTCATCCACAGAGAGCTAGCAGAGCGATAGCCACGCTGTCACTCTTAGCTCACTAAATCTGTTTCCTCTCCTCTGTAGAGGAAGGGAATAGGAGAGGAATCCTCTACTCTGTCCAATTCTCCACGTAGACTAGTAGAGGACAAGAGGAAAGCTCTCACGGTTAAGGGCCTCCTGCCTTGAATTGACACTATCCTCGATGCAAAAGTGTTAATTGTATAAACTCGAATTCACTCGGGAATGTGCACTATACCGTTCTCTCTCATTTTGTTTGTATCACTGTCGTTTAGCATGGTTACATACCTTAGTAGTGTGTGCCAAACCTTTCCTCATGTACCCCCACCCATTCCACTTATTTGATGTATTCTAGTACGAGCACACCTGATTCAATTGGTTAACTAATCATCAAGCCCGTCATTAGTTGAATCAGCTGTGTTAGTACTGGGATAGATGAAGAAAAAGTGGAAACTAGCTGGAGGTACTCGAGGAGAGGTTTGGGAAACACTGCCTTTGCATAAACCAGAATGATTTAAAGTTCATACCTCAAGTGTTGACCTTCTCTGTGTTCTTCCTCATCCTCCTCTCCTCCTCTTCCAGCGTGGTCGCACGGCCCTCTCCGTGGCCCAGAAGGGGTCCTACGGTGACATCACAGCCCTCCTCCAGGCTCACCACACACACGCTGGGACATCTCTCTGAGACCTTGACCCCCCTGTTCCCCTGGATAGGTCAAAGACACAGACGCCACAGTGCAAGGAATGTCCAATTCCAAATGGCAACTTATTCCCTAATGTATATAGTGCACTTTTGACTATAACCTAGCTAGCTAAGTATATCTAAAATCTGGTAGAAATCTGTGTTGGTAGCCTACTGGCTGTCACTTGACTTCTCCGACACTCACCACTTGCTGAGCTCAGCTGGTCATGTTAGCATTTCTCACTGACTTCAAGTACTAGGCTCTGGTCAAAAGTTGTGCACTATACAGTAAAACATTTTATTTTAAGACTTGTGTGCCAGTGGAAGTGTTACTATGACAGACGTGCACGGCTCCAATCTTGGAGGGCGATATTGTCTGCTGGTTTTTGTCCTTGCCTTTTAAAATTGATCCAAGTGCCTGGGCAAATAGCAAAGTGGAGTTGTCAGCCGATCAATGACATGAATTGACCCAATAAGTTCCACAATGGGAGATTTAAAAAAAACAGACAAACTGCGGCCCTGGAGGACTGGAGCCGTCTATCCCAGGGTTATTTTCGAAAATGCATTATTACAGTATATGCTGGACAACCGATGGGTTGATTGCTCTGCTGGTACTGTATACGATTCAATGCCGTTATGCTATCCCCTGTATGGCATTAGGGGAGTGACAATGCCTTCACATCTCTTCACATGGCCTTTATTGTGTGATTGTAAGGTGGGACTTTTATTTTAATATCTATTATTCTGACCTAGCCTTACACTAGCAACTGGGAAGAGAACAATTGTGTTATCAGACTGAAAGAAATATCAAAGAAATCGAATCTAGTTGGTATTCAGGTCTGCACCACTACCCTCTGGGCATTTCATTCAGCTAGAGATAATTATTACAGTAAATATGCAGTACATTTACATTGACGCTTGTCTGGATTGAACTATTTCCCACTATCAGCAATATGTTGCATGCCAATCTCTATACTGTATGAAGTAAAATATCAGTGCGCTATCCTGGTAAAGTTTGTTTCATTATTATCACTATCCATTATAGACAAACCAGACAGTGGATATCTCTACTCATTTTTATGCATTACTCTTAAAGCTAAGCAAGATTGCTGACATGTGACAGTTTTAATAAAACGTCTGGTGTTTGCCAATGATTTTGTATTAATATGGGGGAAAAACACATTGTAACACACCGATTGTACTCTGTCTATGTAATGACATAAATGGCCAGCGGATGGCGCTACTTTTCCATACTGTTATTTACATTTTAGTCATTTAGCAGACGCTCTTATCCAGAGCGACTTACAGTTAGTGAGTGCATACATTTTCATAGTGCATGCATGCATGCAGTGAACGCTGTCCTGACTGGATGTCTTTCATCCTTAGGAGATATACAATCCCTTTGTAATATGACACACAATTGTTTTCAGCTGAGTGCTACTCATTGGTAGTAATGCATCTGGATAAGGTGAGTCCGCCCCCATGAAATGCCAAAATGCTTTTAGCATTTACAAAAGCTCCAATCCATTACTAGTATTATAATAATCATACAAGCATTCAAAGTAATCCACCTTGCGCTTACACATTGAAATTCAATGCCCGGTCAGCCATAATAGATTACATGAATTCTTGGTACTGGACCGGTAGGTCTCATTCTCTATGCTGGTGTGTGCATGTACGTGTGAGGCTTGGCTGTATGGAAAGATGGAAATAAGACTGAGGTAGAGGCAGTGTGTGTGATAGTGAAAGAGTGTGTGTGTGTGTGCGCGGTTGGCTTTATCGCCATGGCAGCAAAGCCCCACATTTCCCCAGGAGATCCCCAGGATGCCTGTTGCTGTCTCTCACACTGACCCCACGCCTGCAGTTGCATCCCATTTTACATTTTAGTCATTTAGCAGACGCTCTTATCCAGAGCGATTTACAGTTAGTGAGTGCATACATTAATTTTTTATTTTTTCATACTGGCCCCCCGTGGGAATCGAACCCACAACCCTGGCGTTGCAAACGCCATGCTCTACCAACTGAGCTACATCCCTGCCGGCCATTCCCTCCCCTACCCTGGACGACGCTGGGCCAATTGTGCGCCGCCCCATGGGTCTCCCGGTCGGCTACGACAGAGCCTGGATTCGAACCAGGATCTCTAGTGGAACAGCTAGCACTGCGATGCAGTGCCTTAGACCACTGCACCACTCGGGAGGTTATCCCCATCACACAAAGAAGAGAGTGAGTCAGCACTATACAATATCTATTACAGCCACACTATTTTCTCTCCCTCTCTCTCTCTCTCTCTCTCCCTCTCTCTCTCACACACACACACACACACACACACACACACACACACACACACACACACACACACACACACACACACACACACACATACAAAATCACACACACTTCCATCCCTGTTACAGAATCCAACAACAACTAAAATACCAAGTAAATATAAAGAGACATCCTCCCCATCCTCTCCATCCTCTCCATCCTCCCCATCCTCTCCATCCTCCCCATCCTCCCCATCCTCTCCATCTTCTCCATCCTCTCCATCCTCTCCATCCTCCCCATCCTCTCCATCCTCTCCATCCTCCCCATCCTCCCCAGCCGGTGTTCACGGGGCTCAGACTAAATGTGTCCATCTGGGCTCTAGTCTGGGGGACCAACATCTGTGATGCATCCCTGTCTGCCCAAAGCTCACCTGGGCTCCCTATGCATAATGCATCATTTCCTGTTTAAATGGGGATCATAAAGGAACTATGCTGTCAAATGCTGCCTCAAAAGTTAGCATCTTTGTGGAATGAGACAATTTTTGCTAATTAGCAACGATGTGGAGTCTGTCTGCCACTCTACTCCCTGCTCTTGAATACACACCTGAAATGCCCAGTGTCATCCGCCAGCTACGTCATTTTAGCATAATGCATCGCAAATGGACTACTCTATAACTACAGTGCAGACGCAGTCCACATAAGACAATGCTGAAAGTCCCAGAGATTCTCGGTCAATCTAATGTATTTGGGTGTCTTGATAGGTGCTCTTGACAGAAATGATGTCTATAAACATATGAAGATACAAATATTAAGAGAAGCAGTTGGAACAAAAGACACGGGGAAGAGATTTGCAATAAAGTTTTATATATCAATATATAGAGATATTTAAGAACAACTTCATGAAATAATGAAAAGGTGAGCGAGACCATTTTGTCAATTCTGGGTACAGATGTTCTTATTTGCATGTACAGAAGTTGCTTGATAAGAACCCATCTCCCACAGCGAAACAGCATAAAAGGGGAAAAAAAAGGCACCAGAAAACAATCATTCATATTATAAACACTGGGGTTGAGAAACAATGAGATATGGAAAATACTGAGGAGAAACCACGTTGTATTACTTGTACTGATAAAGAAGTACACATTTGGAAAGAGAAAAGGATAACAAATGAAGCAAGATCAAGTAACAACACAAAACACTTGGGTGGATAATTCATATTTCGTACAATCAGGGAATGCAGTGCTCTTTTATACAAATAAATTAATATACTGTCATCAACATTTTATTCTTATCTAAAATCTTATGTACATATTTTTCTTTTACAGAATTGTATAATACTTTATCAAAAGCTTTTTTTGCAATATGAAAATGTATTTACAAATCATGATTTCAAAAAACATCCTCGCAGTTACTCTGGTCCCAAACACATACATACTCACATGCACTCACTCTGACAAACATGCACATACACACACACACACGTTCTCCCATGCAACACACACAACACAGAAGGCATTCTGAGAGGGCTGTGCAACAAAGTGTACAAAACCTTTCCAATATGGCTGTGGGATGAACATGCATAAACACACACACACATATCCTATCCACCCCCACTACACACACTCATCAATCTCTCTACCGGGCTCTATCCAAATCCCACTTCATCCCGTCACCGTGATCGACAATACAACAATAGAGGGGATTCCGAAATTTCTATTTTCTGAGCAGATCACCAATGTGCATGACAGGACAAAAGGAGAGGGTGGACAAAGGACAGCTGTGTTTACTGACAGGAGAATCCAACCTGACTGAACCGCATTACTGTTTAAGGCTGCGTCCCAAATAACACCCTATTCCCTATTTAGTGCACTACTTTTGACCAGAGCCCTATGGGAATAAAGGGAATAGGGTGCCAATTAGGAAGCAGCTTAAATCTGCCACCGTGACCTCAGCCACCAAATCACCTGACAGGGGCCTTTTGTCAGCAGTCGACCTCCCACTGACTGAGCGCCTCCTGTATGAAAGCTCACATTGACATGCGATCAAAGAACAAAGACAGGGGCATGGATGTTTGTGTGTGTGTCCGGTGTGTGTGTGTCTGTCTGTCTGTCTGTCTTTGGGTTGAGTGGAATGCTTGTGTTTGTGAAGGGCGAGCGATTATGCATGCTGTGTGTACATAGTATCTTCCTAGGGCAAGTTAATATTTGTTTAGTTCCGTACAATTTATGTAGTTCTGTCCTTGAGCTGTTCTTGTCTATTAATGTTCTGTATTATATCATGTTTCATGTTCTGTGTGGACCCCAGGAATAGTAGCTGCTGCTATCTCAACAGCTAATGGGGATACTAATAAAATACCCCGTGTGTCTCTTGAGGGTGAGTGACTCTGTGTGTGTGTTGTCCTGACAAAGATAGCAGATGGGGGAATAAAATCAACAAAAACAGATGACAAATTCACCAACCACGTACCCTGTGGCCATGGAAAACAGCTAAAGAGGAGAATAACAGCCTAAATGATTCACCTCAGTAGAACAACCCTCTTATTGCTTTTCTCAAACTGTTAGCTAAGCATTAGCCTGGTAGCCATTAGCCATATCTGGTTCTGCTTTAGCCTTCTAGCCAGAAAGCTAGCTAATTCTGCTTTAGCCAACTCTGTTGTCATTATCATGCCTAAAGGCTGGTTTATAGTCCGTCTATCGACACGTTGTTGCAGTGATATCATGAAAATTATATTTAAACACAAAAATGACATCATGAACATTATATTGTCACGCAACAGTGAATGACATTCTATCCTTCGTATAAACAAGCAAACATGGAGGAGGAAGCTGCCTTGCTCCTAATCTTTTTAAGTGCTGTCCTTCTCCTGAGAAGAGAAGTTAATATTTGTTTGTTTGATTTCTCATAGAAGACCTAGTCTAGAATTAGCTTGGCTAGATAGCTAGCTCAGCTAAAGCCAGTTTAATTACAGGTTGAATTAAGCTGGCTAGCAATTGCTAACCAGGATTTTTTTTTGTTCAGAAATTTGGAGTCTTCCCTCTCAACGGCAAAGAGACAAGGGTGCTCCATAACTAAACGTAACATCTGCTCTACAAAAAATACAGTAATCCATAATATTTAATGTATGTATATTCTGTATGCTAACGTAAGCTAGCTAGCTGTAAATCAGGCGTTTGATTGACAGGTGAGATTTGTTGTCATGGTTATGTTGCGCCAGTGGCTCTATCTACCCATGACAACGGACACTGTGGCAGGGTCAAAGTTGAACATTTTTCATCTCTGTGCGACAAGGAAACCGACAGTCGTAGTGACAGTCTAAAGACAGTCAGCCTGAGTATAAATTAAATGTAGTTTTGACCAGCAATACCTGTCGCATTCTAATTGTCTAGAGACATGTCGACAGACACACACAAACACATAAGACTTAACACGGATACTGTTAGCCACTAGCTAGACATGTCTTCACTGGGCCTAAAAATCCAGGCTACCGTTAATAACTACAAAGGTTTCTCTTGCTAAGCCTTACGTTTTCTCTTGGATCCCACCGCTGCCACCAACATTTCTCAACGACCCTTTGCCCTGCTTGCCCTCTGGTTGTTAGGCCTACTGCTGCTAGGTAGCTCTCTCTCTGCTCTCTCCCTCCCCTCTGTCTGTCCTTGATTGCAGGAGTGAAGTCTGGTGTGCGGGAGTCAGGGTTCCAGCTGCAGCTCATTCACCATAATCACCTCAGCCTTTAAGACCCGGTCAAACTTACCACTCATCGTCAGATCATAGTCAAGACGACCATGTTAGTCTCGCTGCCGACTCAACCTGTTTATTTTTGCTCTTTGTGTTTTTGGCCTGTTCTATTTACTTTTTCTCCTGTGCCACAGATATTTGGAACCTGACTCCTGCCTCCGCTTCACTCCTGC